AGTGGGACAAATTCCGAGAGTTGGCGCCGGTGGCGGAGCAACACGGGGTTCCTTGTGTCCCGACTGGCTGTGGGAGATTGCCTTGGAGTCGTTGCGGGCTGGATCCGGCATTCGGTGAGTGAGGCGACTTGGTCCGCTTACTCTAAGGTCTGGTGGGAGTCGCTGGATCTGTTACAACGGGTCAATATTGATCCCTGGGGGCCGGAGGTGCGTGTGGCAGTGTTGTGTACTTGGCGCGGAGTTTGGAGCGGGGGGAGTCGGCTGCTGCAGTGGATTGCCGACTGGCGGGATTGGCATTTTTCTTTAAGTTACAAGGGTGTCGGGATTTCACTAAAGATTTTTGGGTTGGACAGGCTCTACGGGGTTACCGGAGGGCTCATCGCTGTAGGGATTCTTGTCGTCTGGTGTCCTTTGAGTTGTTGGGGTCTTTGTTTGTGCATTTGCGGACAGTGTGTTCTTCGGATTTTCAGGTGTGCTTTTTCAGGCACGATGATGGATCCCCTTTAACGCGTTTTCAATTTGTGGCAGTTTTTCGACGGGGTTTGACGGCTGCTGTGGTTTGGATGCGTCTTTGTATGCCCTCGCACTCGTTTCGGATTGGGGCTGCTACGGAGGCGGCCAGGTGGGGGCTGTCAAATAATGTGGTGAAGCGCATTGGTAGGTGGGATTCCCAGAGATTTCGCCTGTACGTTCGTCCGCATTTGTTGAGGGATTAGTGGGAGGTCCTGTGTTTGTTTGTTTTGGGTTGTAGGAGGTAGTTGCGGTCATGTCCCTGTGATGTATTGTTCTGGAGGTATTGTTTTCTTTTCTTTCAGGTGGAGCATTGTGCCTGGTGTGGATCCTGGGTCACTCTTATGTGTTTTGGGGTGCCAGGCGGGCTGATGTGCGGCCCAATGGCAGGCAGCTGGGGTTGGATAGAAGGGAGGTTTGTGTCCGCGGGATAGGTGTGCCGGGCATGTTGTGGAGTCGTGTCGTACCAGAGGTACAGCGTTTTGTGCGGCTGGATAGACCACCAGATGTTTTGGTGCTTCATGCAGGTGGCAACGATTTGGGGGGTAGGTCCATGTGGGAGCTGGTTCGAGATGTCAAGCTGGATTTTCTTCAGTTGCAGCGGGAGTTTCTGGGGATGGTGGTGGTGGTGTGGTCCGACATAGTCGCCCGCACTTCTTGGCGCTTAGCGCGGTCGGTGGAGCGGCTCAACAAGGCCAGGATTAAGGTCAACAGGGAGGTGGGGCGCTTCTTTAGTCGTAATGGAGGGTTGGTGGTCCGGCATGTGGAGTTGGAGGTGGATACTTGGCGGTATCTTCGGAGCGATGGAGTACATTTGACTGATGTGGGCACGGATTTGTGGTCCCTGGAGCTTCAGGACGGCATACTGCAGGAGGTTCGTTTGTGGCGTGGCACGCATGGGTAAGGGCTTACCCAGCGTGCTGTGGCGGTTGTTGGTCTTTGGAGGCGGTTCTCATCTTGGAAGGTAAAACAATGGTGTGGGACCCATCGGTGGTATGGGGTGCCCGGTGGACATTCCCAGTTAACCAAGGTTTAACTGGAAGGTGGTGGTGCTGCACTGCGGACGGTATGGTTGTCTCCGAGTTGGTGGTTGCGGCTGGAGGCCTAGTGTATAGGGTTGTCCGCAGGTGCATTTTGGATCGTTTGGGGGTGCCTTCGAAGACCAACAACAATTCTTTGGTTTCCGTTATAAGGAACGGTTGATGTATTTAAAATTTGAAGTTGTTAATAAAAGGCCATGTTGGCCATTTTACTCCAAATGGTGTCATGTTTTTTGTAAAGTTTAATTAGTTAAGGGGTGGGGAGTGGTATGGATCGGTAATAGTGGAAGTAGGAGTGGACAAGCCTATCTATGGTGCATTAGTCATGTATTTCTGTCGACTAAGAGGTTTGAAGATAACGTCACCAGCTGACACATACTGACATTTTCATTTTCTTAAGGCCTACAAAGCTTGATACACCTGTTGTCTTCCCTGCCAAGACTGAAACACTTTTCATAGAACAGGCAAGAGATTAGACATTTTTTCAAAGCTTATTTCTTTTTTCCATAATCTACAACTTTTGTTATATTTTACTCTGTATTTTTATTTTATCTTTTGTATTCATTTCATGTTGTTGCCAAGTGTGAATTAAATAAAAGTCACACTGTTTTAAATCAGCCTGGCACTAGAACACTACCTCAAACGCCTAAGAAAGACACTTAAATAATATAAGTGTCACGATTAGAGATGAGCGAATTATTTAAAAATTTCGATTCGACTGATTCGGCGAATTCGTGAAAAAATTTTGATTCGAGTCGAATATATTTGGCTGCGAATTTAACTTATAAAAGGGTGTTTCTAGGCTTCAGAGAGCCTTTATATTAGTGCAGAACACTGTACCTTTAATTTAAATGCCCTTGGAGTCTGCTGGGGAAGAGAAATAATACTGACAGTCGGTATGACATGCAGATGAGTGCCGTCGATCTTAGAATCACCGCACACTTTCACTCATTTGGGCAGTCACGGGCCAAAACCAGAGTGTGGAGCCACAGTGTGGCGGTGGAGGCAGCAGCAATGGGAGGCCATACAGCACCCTATGACAAAAATGGAAACCACCAGCAGTGTGAGGAGACCTGAAAGTGGCACATGGCAGAGTGTGGCGATGGAGACAGCAGCAATGGGAGGCCGTACAGGGACCCATGACACACTCTGGACCTGGCAGCAGCATGAGGAGGCGGTACAGGGGCCCATGACAGATTACGAGCCTGGCAGCAGCATGAGAGTTGGTACGGGGGCCCATGGCAGATTACGGGCTGGCAGCAGCAATGGGAGGCCGTACAGGGACCCATGACACACTCTGGACCTGGCAGGCAGCATGAGGAGGCGGTACAGGGGCGCATGACAGATTACGAGCCTGGCAGCAGCAACTTGGACAGGAGGACGGTTTTTTTCAGCTTCTGCACCGTCGGGTGCGTGCTCGCAAACTGTTGTCTCTTGGAAACGGATTCCAAGAAAGACTGCTGACGGAATCCGTGGAAGAGGAGTAGCAAGAGAAGGAGCATCTGAACGAGCGGAATATGCCAACAAGCGACAACAGGGGCCCCATGACAGATTACGGGCCTGGCAGCAGCATGAGGAGTCGGTACGAGGGGGCCCATGCAGATTACGGGCCTGGCAGCAGCAATGGGAGGCCCGTAATCTGCCAGCACCCTATGACAAAAAATGGAACACACCAGCAGTGTGAGAAGACCTGAAAGTGGCACATGGCAGAGTGTGGCGATGGAGACAGCAGCAATGGGAGGCCGTACAGGGGACCCATGAGAGACTCTGGACCTGGCAGCAGCATGAGGAGGCGGTACAGGGGCCCATGGCAGATTAGGGGCCTGGCAGCAGCTATGGGAGGCCCGTAATCTGCCAGCACCCTATGACAAAAAATGGAACACACCAGCAGTGTGAGAAGACCTGAAAGTGGCACATGGCAGAGTGTGGCGATGGAGACAGCAGCAATGGGAGGCCGTACAGGGACCCATGAGAGACTGTGGACCTGGCAGCACATGAGGAGGGCGGTACTGGGGCCCCATGCTATATGATATTACGGGCCAGGCAGCAGCAATGGGAGGCCCGTAATCTGCCAGCACCCTATGACAAAAAATGGAACCACACCAGCAGTGTGAGGAGACCTGGAAAGTGGCACATGGCAGAGTGTGGCGATGGAGACAGCAGCAATGGGAGTGTTTTTTCAGGGACCCATGAGGACACTGGGACTGGCCAGCAGCATGAGGAGGCCGGGTTAGGGGGCCCATGGCAGATTACGGGGCCTGGCAGCAGCTATGGGAGGGCCGTAATCTGCCAGCACCCTATGACAAAATAATGGAACACACCAGCAGTGTGTGGGAGACCTGAAAGTGGCACATGGCAGAGTGTGGCGATGGAGACAGCAGCAATGGGAGCCGCTACAGGGACCCATGAGAGACTCTGGACCTGGCAGCAGCATGAGGAGGCGGGGTACAGGGGCCCATGGCAGATTAGGGGCCTGGCAGCAGCAATGGGAGGCCCGTAATCTGCCAGCACCCTATGACAAAAAATGGGAACACACCAGCAGTGTGTGAGGAGACCTGAAAGTGGCACATGGCAGAGTGTGGCGATGGAGACAGCAGCAATGGGAGGCCGTACAGGGACCCATGAGAGACTCTGGACCTGGCAGCAGCATGAGGAGGCGGGGTACAGGGGCCCATGGCAGATTAGGGGCCTGGCAGCAGCTATGGGGAGGCCCGTAATCTGCCAGCACCCTATGACAAAAAATGGAACCCACCAGCAGTGTGAGGAGGAGACCTGAAAGTGGCACATGGCAGAGTGTGGCGATGGAGACAGCAGCAATGGGAGGCCGTACAGGGACCCATGAGAGACTCTGGACCTGGCAGCAGCATGAGGAGGAGGCGGTGGTACAGGGGGCCCATGGCAGATTACGGGCCTGGCAGCAGCAATGGGAGGCCCGTAATCTGCCAGCACCCTATGACAAAAAATGAAAACACACCAGCAGTGTGAGGAGACCTGAAAGTGGCACATGGCAGAGTGTGGCGATGGAGACAGCAGCAATGGGAGGCCGTACAGGGACCCATGAGACACTCTGGACCTGGCAGCAGCATGAGGATGGCGGTACAGGGGCCCATGGCAGATTAGGGGCCTGGCAGCAGCATTGGGAGGGCCCGTAATCTGCCAGCACCCTATGACAAAATGGAACACCAGCAGTGGGGAGGAGACCTGAAAGTGGCACATGGCAGTTTTGTGGCGATGGAGCGACAGCTGCAATGGGAGGCCGGTACAGGGACCCATGACAGGATTGACTCTGGACCTGGCACAGCGGCATGAGGACGCTCGGGTACGGGGGGCTTGACAGATTAAAATCCTGGCACAGCATGGGAGTAGGAAACTTTGCCTGGCAGCCAGCTACTCCTCACTGGCTGGACTGCACTTCCTCTGTGCCAACCCCGGCACCCCGAACTACTGGCAAAATGGCCAGTGCTGCAGTGGAGACCTGCTCTACTGTGGCACGTTTGACCTCGATGAGACTGTTGACCCGATGCCTCCTGGACAGCAGCAATGGGAGGCCGTACAGGGACCCATGAGACACTCTGGACCTGGCAGCAGCATGAGGAGGCGGTACAGGGGCCCATGGCAGATTACGGGCCTGGCAGCAGCAATGGGAGGCCCGTAATCTGCCAGCACCCTATGACAAAAAATGGAACACACCAGCAGTGTGAGGAGACCTGAAAGTGGCACATGGCAGAGTGTGGCGATGGAGACAGCAGCAATGGGAGGCCGTACAGGGACCCATGAGAGACTCTGGACCTGGCAGCAGCATGAGGAGGCGGTACAGGGGCCCATGGCAGATTACGGGCCTGGCAGCAGCTATGGGAGCCCCGTAATCTGCCAGCACCCTATGACAAAAAATGGAACACAACAGCAGTGTGAGGAGACCTGAAAGTGGCACATGGCATGAGACACTGTGGGACCTGGCAGCAGCATGAGGAGGCGGTACAGGGGCCCATGGCAGATTAGGGGCCTGGCAGCAGCTATGGGAGGCCCGTAATCTGCCAGCACCCTATGACAAAAAATGGAACACACACCAGCAGTGTGTGAGGAGACCTGAAAGTGGCACATGGCAGAGTGTGGCGATGGAGACAGCAGCAATGGGAGGCCGTACAGGGACCCATGACACACTCTGGACCTGGCAGCAGCATGAGGAGGGAGGAGCGGTACAGGGGCCCATGGCAGATTACGGGCCTGGCAGCAGCAATGGGAGGCCCGTAATCTGCCAGCACCCTATGACAAAAAATGGAACACACCAGCAGTGTGAGGAGACCTGAAAGTGGCACATGTTTGGGGCATGATTCATGGCGGATTTAGTCAGTTGTGTCAGGAACTGGTGGTTTGAAATCCAGACTAATCCACGCCTGATTCATTTTCACAAACGTGAGTCTCTCCACACTTTGGGGTGGACAGTCGTGTCCTCCGCGGAGTTACAATACCTCCTGCCGCACTAAACACGCGCTCCGATGCCACGCTACTGGCCGGGCATGACAGCCTTTCAAGGGCAAATTCAGCTAGTTGGGGCCAAAGGTCAAGTTTCGTTGCCCAGTAGTCAAGGGGATTGTCTACCTCGGTTGGCAGGGTGCTGTCCAAGTAGGCCTAAGCCTGTTGTTTGAGGGTCCTGCTCCAGGTCCACCTGATGCTGCTGCTGCTGCTGCGGCTGGTTAGTAGTTTCCTCACTGCGCTGGTGAAGAAAGCTACTCATCATCGACTGCAGACTGAGGCAGCCGCTGCTGGTGGAGCTGCCACTGCTCCTACCACCCCACCCCTCCCCTGCTGCCATGGCAGCGGAACGCGAGCGCACAGGGCCCACAGTGTCTGAGGATGGACGTTGGCGCAGAAAGGCAGAGACCAGCTGACTACATAGGTGGTTTTTATAGTAGTACGTTATTTTGGCCTCCCTCTCAGCAGGTGTGAAAAAGGCCACCATTTTTGAACGGTAGCGAGGGTCCAACAAGGTGTGGACAGCCAAAAGTCATCCCTCTGTCTGATGGTTATTATTCGGCTGTCGCTACGCAAGCAAGCGAGCAGCATGCTATGGGCCATTTGTGCCAAGGAATGCGAGGGACTCCCTGCCTCCATCTCCACAGCATACTGCCACGGTGCGTCTGGGTCCTCTGTCTCTCTCCTCCTCCTCCTCTACCAGATGCTCCTGCTCCTCCACTCCTGTCCGCTGAGTGGAAAAACCACCCATTTCACTCAATAATTCCTGAGCACCAATGTCCTCCTCTACCTCCTCCTCTTCTTCCTGTCCTGCCCCCACAGGGGTCATGTGGCGTTGAGATCTGTGCGCCACGTCTACCGCACCCTGACCAGCCATTGTTAACAGCATTTGTTCCAGGACGTGCAACAGAGGAATGACGTCGTTCATCCCATAGTCCTGCCGACTCACGAATAGCGTGGCCTCTCAAAGGGCCTGAGCAAGCGCAGGTGTCACGCATGAGCTGCCAATGGCTGACATCTAAGTTACACAGGGAGTACCTTTATCCGCTTGTAACATCAGGAAATCTGTGATGGCCTTTCGCTGTTCGTAAAGGCGGTCTAACATATGTAGGGTTGAATTCCACCTTGTTGCAACGTCACAGCATGAGGAGTCGGTACGGGGGCCCATGGCAGATTACGGGCCTGGCAGCAGCAATGGGAGGCCCGTAATCTGCCAGCACCCTATGACAAAAAATGTAACACACCAGCAGTGTGAGGAGATCTGAAAGTGGCACATGGCAGAGTGTGGCGATGGAGACAGCAGCAATGGGAGGCCATACAGGGACCCATGAGAGACTGTGGACCTGGCAGCAGCATGAGGAGGCGGTACTGGGGCCCATGGCAGATTACGGGCCTGGGTGTGAGGAGACCTGAAAGTGGCCCATGGCAGGGTGTAGGGCAGATGGAGACAGCAGCATGGGGAGGCCGTACGAGGGACCCATGAGAGATCTCAGAGCTGGCAGCAGCATGAGGAGGCGGTATATACAGTGGGCCCTATGGCAGACTTAGGGGCCTGGCAGCAGCTATGGGAGGCCGTAATCTGCCAGCCACCCGATGTCAAAAAATCTGGACACCACCAAAGCAGTGTGTGAGGAGACCTGAAGGTGGGCCACATGGCAGGTCGTGTGGCGATGGAGGACAGCAGGAATGGGAGGGCCGTTACAGGGACCACATGAGAGGCACTCTAGCGACCAGGCTAGCAGCAATGAGGAGGCAATATGGTATATAGGGGGCTATGGCAGTTAGGTCCTGGCAGCAGCTATGGGAGGCCCGTAATCTGCCAGCACCCTATGACAAAAAATGGAAACCACACCAGCAGTGTGAGAAGACCAGAAAGTGGCACATGGCAGCAGAGTGTGGCGATGGAGACAGCAGCATTGGGAGCCGTACAGGGACCCATGAGAGGGACTGTGGAACCTGTGGTTACTGGGGCCCATTTGGGAGATTACGGGCCTGGCAGCAGCAATGGGAGGCCCGTATTCTGCCAGCACCCTATGCAAAAAAAGGGGAAAACACCAGCAGTGTGAGGAGCCCGAAAGTGGCCACAATTTTGG